GACATTCCACCTGGCCCCTGTTGGTCACTCCACCTGTCTCCTGTTGGTCACTCTACCTGGTTCCTGTTGGACACTCCCCCTGGAATCTGTTGGACACTCCGCCTAGAATCTGCTGGACTCTCCACTTGGAATCTGTTGGACACTCCACCTGGAATCTGTTGGACATTCCACGTAGTTCCTGTTGGACACTCCACCTGGAATTTATTGGACACTCCACCTGGCTCCTGTTGGACACTCCTCCTGGCTACTGTTGGACACCCCACCTGGCTCCTGTTGGACACTCCACCTAGAATCTGTTGGGCACTCCACCTGGAATCATTTGGACACTCCACCTAGAATCTATTGGCCACTCCACCTGGAATCTGTTGAAGAGAACCGAGTGGAGTCTTATTTATCAATGTCAAAGTGGTTGTTTCTCATGTTGCAGATGACATCTGCAATGACGTCTTTGTCTGGTGATACTCAATGGTGACAACACTTTCATTTTAGATCCAGTTTTTTTTTTACCTCCGACACGCTTCTCTAACTCTACTGCTTTGTTATGGGCTTGTTTTCAAACCCCGTCAAGCCCTCAGTGCTGGCTTCCAAGTTCTTGAGCTGAAGCAGAGGCTGAGAAGAATGTTTGGAGACAGTGTGTTCATTGGGTCCTTGGGCCCTGATAAGAGTTTAATTCAGGTGGTTATCTGACACTGCAAGAGAATTCAATTCACCACTTGGTCTCGACGAGATCGGATGCTTCCCTCCCTCCCTCTCTGCTTTGCTTTGCTGCTCTGTCTGTCTGTGAAATTGCTGTGAGACTCTCTTGCATTTTTTCCAAACCATAATTATGGACTGTTTTGACCAGTTGGTCCCTCAACTCAAGTTACAACATTTCTTCGAAGAGAAGACAGGCTTTAGGCGAGCCGATTTGCCCTGTTGGCACACACCCAGCTGGATATCTCATTGACTTGGAAGACTTGATGATGTGTCTATCTCTGCTGCCATCTGTGGATTTTAAGGATGCATATTTAATTGGATTTTCGATAACTGGTTCCTGCTTTTTGGATTCGGCTGGTTGTTGGTTTTATTTACAGTCAAGGAAGTCGTCGGCAGCAAATTTGGACCCGATTATGCTGCTTGCCTTTTTGATGGCTTGGTTCGTGTCTCGTGCACCCAGACTCAAATGCTTTAGGCTGAATGGATCAGATCTTGGGGATTTTACTCAGTCACATTCCATCGGTGTGGCCATATTATTTTGGACATTTCGGAACTGAGTTGACCAACACAGACTTAAGGTAGATGTCATTAAGTCCTGCCTGTCCCCAAAACAACTGTGTGTTTATCTAAATTTTGGTTCCCTTGGCTGGTCTTGAAGGCCATATTATCAGAATTCGCCTGGAGAAAATGTGATCTGACGCTCACCACCCCCTCCCTGAGGAATTTCCAACTGAGAACCAGATGAACCAGCTGAATAAACTTTGTGTCATCATTTCAGGACTTTTGGATTCTCATAGATGTTATCCTTGGCCATTCCTCGACATACCTCGAGAATGTTTATGGATCTCACATTGACTGATTACAGTGACATCGAGAGCATCTACAGGTCCTTCTCAAAAAAATTGCATATTGTGATAAAGGTCATTATTTTCCATAATGTAATGATAAAAATGAAACTTTCATATATTTCAGATTATTTGCACATCAACTGAAATATTTCAGGTCTTTAATTGTTTTAATACTGATGATTATGGCATACAGCTCATGAAAACCCAAAATGCCTGTCCCAAAAAATTAGCATATCATGAAAAGGTTCTCTAAACAAGCTATTAACCTAACCATCTGAATCAACGACGTAACTCTAAACACCTGCAAATGATTCCTGAGGCTTTTAAAAACTCCCAGCCTTGTTCATTACTCAAAACCGCAATCATGGGTAAGACTGCCGACCTGACTGCTGTCCAGAAGGCCATCATTGACACCCTCAAGCAAGAGGGTAAGATACAGAAAGAAATTGTTGAACGAATAGGCTGTTCCCAGAGTGCTGTATCAAGGCACCTCAGTGGGAAGTCTGTGGGAAGGGAAAAGTGTGGCAGAAAACGCGCACAACGAGAAGAGGTGACCGGACCCTGAGGAGGATTGTGGAGAAGGGCCGATTCCAGACCTTGGGGGACCTGCGGAAGCAGTGGACTGAGTCTGGAGTAGAAACATCCAAAGCCACCGTGCACAGGCGTGTGCAGGAAATGGGCTACAGGTGCCGCATTCCCCAGGTCAAGCCACTTTTGAACCAGAAACAGCGGCAGAAGCGCCTGACCTGGGCTACAGAGAAGCAGCACTGGACTGTTGCTCAGTGGTCCAAAGTACTTTTTTCGGATGAAATCAAATTTCGCGTGTCATTCGGAAATCAAGGTGCCAGAGTCTGGAGGAAGACTGGGGAGAAGGAAATGCCAAAATGCCAGAAGTCCAGTGTGAAGCACCCACAGTCAGTGATGGTCTAGGGTGCCATGTCAGCTGCTGGTGTTGGTCCACTGTGTTTTATCAAGGGCAGGGTCAATGCAGCTAGCTATCAGGAGATTTTGGAACACTTCATGCTTCCATCTGCTGAAAAGCTTTATGGAGATGATTTCATTTTTCAGCATGACCTGGCACCTGCTCACAGTGCCAAAACCACTGATAAATGGTTTACTGACCATGGTATTACTGTGCTCAATTGGCCTGCCAACTCTCCTGACCTGAACCCCATAGAGAACCTGTGGGAAATTGTGAAGAGAAAGTTGAGAAACGCAAGACCCAACACTCTGGATGAGCTTAAGGCTGCTATCGAAGCATCCTGGGCCTCCATAACACCTTAGCAGTGCCACAGGCTGATTGCCTCCATGCCGCGCCGCATTGAAGCAGTCATTCATGCAAAAGAATTCCCGACCAAGTATTGAGTGTGTAGTGATGTAAGGGTTAACTTCACTACTAATTAATTATTCTTAAAGCTAGTTCAAGCACAAAGAATATTAATTGTTTAATTACAACGGATTCTTTCTTTTTCGAGTTAAATTTCTGTTATTTGACCAAGATAACGGTGAGTGGGATGTTTAATCAGTGACATGAGACGCCATTTTATCTTTGACCCATCAAAATAAATGCGGTCATTTATTTAACAGAATCAAAATTTAACATCAAA